TTCACGCACGAAATACTTTTATTCATATTGCCAACAGAACGAATTCCTTCGTGTACATAAAAATATGAGAGAAAGAAAAGTCCAAAGAATGCACTCATCAATTTCGACAGCTTGGCAAAATCCGTGCCCCAGTCCCTTTTTTTTACAACACCTGCATTATCGTAAACCAAGTTATGGGGTAAATTTTATTATTACTGCTGTGGGAAACAAAAAAAGTGTGGAAGTGCAGATTTTCATAGAGCCGTATAAATCGAATAATTATCGAGTGGAAATGGGAGGGAAAGACGGGGGCGAAAAATCCCTACGACTGGAGGAGAAGGTACCTGAGGGAGGCATTTCAATTAATCGAACGGGTCTATAAACATTGTCTCGCTGTGGTGTCGTACGGGGCGCACGCCTCGATGAAAATCGATTATCGGCTCTATGAACGCGGTAACAGCAGCCCTCTCCCCGCCCCTATCGACTTGCACTCCTTTTCACAACTCAGGAGAGAACATTCGAATGAACAATGACCCGACCTCGTTCGCATCACTGAGCACAAACGGCTGACCAGTTACAATAACACTGCCATCCTCCATTTATTATTTTTTCGAAAAAATATTTTTCCCATTTAAAGAATGTCACATTGGCGTTTACTACTATTTGGTAAATACTCGACATATAGACAATTGAACTGATAAATACCCTGAGGGATAACTCAGCGCAGCACTCTGACTAGCCTGTGTCATTCATCATTAATCCTCTCTACTATCCACGAGATGTACGACTCAATGCCAGACTCACGAGACATCCCTCCATTAAATCTCATGGAGTGATCAACAGTGGCTCATCGCTATTCCAACACATCGATCAGCCCCAATCTAACTAGCCTCTAACTACCATGAAATCAATCCAACATCCCATTCATTTTTCCCATTGTCTCATTTTGGCATTACACAAGTACCATTGGTTTACAATACAATACCAATACCCAATAACCGGATTAGAAGTCTTTCGACATCATCAGAGGTTCTAATGATTTCTTAAAGGATATTTCTTTTTTGCACGCTGACTTCACACAAGAAATCAGAAAAAAACCTTATGAATTTGTGAAATGAAAAATTATGTTAATAAGGAAGAACAAAATGGAATAAAGTACGGGAGTGATAATTAAAAAAAAATGAAAAGGTGCCAATAGCTCTTCTCCTTGAAAGGAGGTGATTTGGAAGAGTTTTTCATGGACAGAGACACGGGGCTTATCCAGAATCAATTGAGAATGACGAATGGGAGAACTAGAGAAGAGCAAAAAGCATGGTAGATGGTTAGAAAAAAATGTTGATGAGGCTGAGTAAGCGAGTAGAGATCGAAATTCGAGTCAGTTGCAGGCAGTACTGTCTGGAGCCCCTTTGATGCTGGCAGTAGCGAGAAATGGGGTAAAAGGGGGATACCGGGTTATCCAGTTAATACTTTCCAGTTGGTCTACTGTAGAATATAGACACACATACTGCGGCAAGTGATGTCTCTTTTTGTGCCAGGTGGTCCGTGATTATGACCAACGGTTTACACCCTTGTTGTATTTTCACATATACACAGGTAGCATGTACACAAACGTTGAGGCATATCGTTTGTTCGCACCAAAAGGGGATGAGAGGGCGGTAGAGGGTTTTGACCGGTCAGCCAGAAGAACATTCAAAACCATGTTGACCAGCGAGTGGAGCTGAATGTCGATGTGAAAAGCACCAGGTAAACTGAATTTCATAATCGTTTCAATAGCGTCAGTGAGCTAGCTCAGCCTCATTGTCCGCTGATTGCGAGTAAATTAACTCGATTTTTCTTTTTTACTTAATCCGGCAGTGGATGATATTGATATTTGTAATTATTTCGTCATTGTTCTCGTAGGAGTGACTAACAGACCGAGTGACAAAGGAGATAATTGGAAATGGTATTGGCTAATGATTCGAGATATTTGATTTTCTGAAAGTGAAAGTGAAAGTGATTTGTAATAGGGGAAGATTGCATGTGAATTTTGCATGTTAGTCCGAAGTAATGGGGATACAAATATGTACGTTTATGACTGAGGAGATAGGAAATTTTCAATAAATTTGGCGGTACGAAGTGAAATTCAGCTGAAAAGTGAGTACGCAGGGTCTCGGGTCAGGCTGTGTCAATTTCTACAAAGCGTGCATACTTTGCAAGTATACGGGATACTTCAAAGACATGGCTAACATGTACATGGAAAATTCTCTTCGAACTCGCTTCATATCGTAGAGTGAGTGTCTCACTTGCTCTTGCATCGATGTGGAGGAAAGCAGGGAGAAGTAGTGCCCCCATGAAGCCAGTCAGCCCACCTTCCAACGCATGAACGCTCCTCTACCACCGCAAAGGATTATTTTTAGTTCAATTTGTCGCTCGAATAAAACCATAAAGCCAAACACATACCTGCGTCATCTGGCTGTGTATATGGAGGGGAGAAAAACCAAAGACTCCCAGTATTTTGCAGGGTGACGAGAGCCTTTGGAAATAGTGAGCATCATCTCATCATTCTTTTAATTCGGATCTGAAAAATTTTTCAATGAGTTAATCATTCCTTCAAGAAATTAAATGACCCATGAATACGAATAGGATAAACTCTTATTTCTTTATGTATGAAACAAAAGGCAACGCATGCGTTCACGTACATAGTATACATTTTGTTTGGCAATTTGTCAATTTCATACAACAATCATTTAATATGCAATCATTAAATATAAATATATACATGTATACATTCATAATCCATATAATGCTGTATTATGAATGAGATGTACATGTTTTCCATTCAGGTTTCTAGAGAGAGATAAATTGAGCGCCTGGAATCATTGAAACATTATCGAATTATATTTCAATTGTCCTTAATACCGGCATAACTCTGTATAATCAATTATTTGGATAAAGGTATAGTCTCAAAACTCAAAATACATTCTTGTTCTGGGCTTGCAAGACCTTGAAATATAAAGTAATTAAAATCTATATATACCAAATACTTACTTCCACTAAGCCAGAATAACTGATCACTAAGTTACTACTCTCTCTTTCAGCTGATTAGTTTGTCTGTTTATTTTTGACAGTAATCTCTGCCTTGTACCTGATATCATGTTTTTAATTTATTTTATCTATTTATTTTATGTTTTTTTTTTTTTGCTTTTTTTCACATCTTTTTTGCCATCAACCAATTAATTTTTCATTCGATAATGTAATGCTAAAGAGATCGGCCATTGTATAATTCTTTAGGATATTAAATAATAAAATCAGCGTCAATAATTATTCTTCTTTCTCATCCGAAATCCATAAGTGTCATAAAAATTTTAAACGTCAATTGGAAGTGGATGAATGATAAATTATAATTATTCAATAATAATTTCCATAGATTTTTCCGCCTGGTATGACGTGAATAAATTTCATGAAGATATTAATTATGTGGGTCAAAAAGTGACGAATTACTGGATAAAACGGGTGAGCCGGATGAATATGGAAATGATAACCCGATTTGACAAGGCTGATTGCCTATTCGACAGCAAAATCGGATCGTCCCGTTAATGATATTCGTGTAACCGCTTGTATCCCATCCGTTGTATCACCATTGGTGCGTGCCTCTGATGCCCTCTCACGCTTCATTTTCCCTCCCTCCCCTCATTCTCTCATAACACGCATGTATACCTACACTATGTCTCTATTAATGAAGATCAAACTCTGATGAACACTGAGGGATTCCATCCAGCATCTACAGCATCTGCGCAACGAGCGACGGTATCCCTCGTCAATCTCATATGTCCTCCAGCTCATCATTTCAATAACCATTATGACAACAGCCTAATATTATACCTTATATTTTCCACTTCTCCAATTCATTAATTTCATAAGATGCAATAAGAGATTATTTCTTCCCCCTCTTCATCGCGACAATTAAAATTGGTGCGTGCTTTTCACTGGAAATTGGTATCTCATTGATTGTAGGCACTGAGAATGAGAATAATTCGCTGATTTCACGCAAGTTCTGTGAAGTCATCAACACTCAATACTCATGCAATTGACCATGGGCTATTCTCTAATTTATCAATGGCTGATAATATAAAACATGTTCAGAGCTATACAGTTATTGTGAGGGCATCATCGATATCCCATCTAAAGAGAGAGATATAAATTGACGTTAACCGTACGATACGAAGGGCCACAGAATAATGGAATTTCCAGTGGAAGCGAACGCTAATTCGTAATTGATTTCAACAGCTCGTTGTACCTCATTATGTCCTCAATCCTCACGTACATTGAATTTATTGATTGAATCTACTGAATCGAGCTCTCGTTATACAAAATTAAAAATTTCATCGGTCATCAACAATTCATGACGATTCAATCTGTATTTTAACCTGCACCATCTTATGTGTCAAATACAGTTATTATAAAATATGCAAATATGATATTCCATTGAGATAATGATAATTGAGAGGGGAACAAACTGGAAAAATGGTGAGTTTATAATGATAATTGGGAGACAGTGGTCACGCCAGTGGCCACCAGTTTCACTCGCAGTGAAATCAATAAGCCGATTGTTCACAACAGAAGCTTACGTCAAATCCGTCAAATTTACATGGTAAATTGACACTCGGTTTATGGAGGATGTGAAATAGTGAGAATAAATGATCTGACAGTCCACGCCAGCTCTTCACATGAACGGACTTCCGCTCTAGTTTTCACTCGTTTATTTATTTATTATTATGCCCTTCATTTGTTCTTTCCATTTTTCTATTATCATCAAATAATAATATCTCCTATGATTGGGTTAGGTTATCATTTATGGTACGAGATCTCGGCATAATAAATCGCACAATTATTACCGAAATAATGCGGATATATTTAAAAGACTTGTCACATGCGTCGAGAGGTGTCACCAGTTTCTGGGATCGCCAAATTATTCTGCTGATGGAATAAATGAAATAAATTCATTTGACGGAACAATTAAATAAAATGTCTGCATTGAATTACATTATAGCCATATTTTTGCAAATAACTGGGGTAGAGACTAATCTTTATCCTGGAAAACTGTTGAGCAGCTTGGGGGAATGGAAATCGCCAGCTATCTCTCCGAGATAATTCTGATCACAGGATTACTCCCAGTTTCGAAGATAATCCCCTCATTTTCTTCCCGAATAACACTTTAGTCCAGTTAGTAAGTACGAATTTTACCGGCACCGACAAAAGTTAATGAAAGAAAATGGGTCAACTTGTCGGTCGTATGCCCAAAACTTGGCAAGACTTAATGGAGGAACGTGATCGTGTGCTGCACTGGAGTTGCGAAGTCTTGGCTCGTGTTGACGACAATATCAACAATGAGGAGGCCTTTTTGATGGACTACGATAACAAGAGAATAAGAGAAAAAGTCAATCGGTGGATTTCAGAGCACAGAATACGCAGGGATCCATGTCTCAGGGATTTTCTTGACAAGAGTCGAGTTTACAGGGAACGAATTAACGAAGGAGTGACTAAGGTATGAAATAAACAAATGAAAAAAGAGTAGATAAAAATGCCTGATAAGTCAACATGATCTCTGATTATTATTCAGATTGCCACTGCAGTGATGAATAAAATGAGGAGGGCATACCGTGAGTCGTACAAGAACGTAAGAAAGTTCACGAATCGTGTGGATCTCCTGGGTGAAATACAGAGAAAGATACACAGGGAAATACTCACGTTGGACAATTCCTGCAAGGATAATCCCAAGAAATTCGCGAGGAAACTTTTCAAATTGAGATCGTGGGTGTTCGACAATCTCGAGAGTAGTGAGAAAATTATGTTTGTGGAGAAGAGACGGTTTGATGATTTTAGAAAGAAAGTTTACGACATTGATCGTAAATCCAGAGATGAGTGTTACGAGATGTTGGAGAAACTGATTCGACGAGTTTAGAGGCAAATAAACAGCTCTGGTGGTTGCAAGTTCATTCCACTAGACTTTTTTTCCCTCGAATACGTGAGGTACCACGGGGGAATCATGAAGAATCGGTGAACGTGCTGGAGTTGAGTGATCGATCTCTACGGACCATGGCCGTGAAAATATAGCCGTGAAAATATATGGAAATGGTCCCATCGTTGGGGTAGGCTCTCTTAGAGACTACCACCACTCGGAGAACAGGAGGTGACAAGAAGCTTATCGCTTACTCTTCAACATTATTTTCACTTAAGACTTGCGCACACACTTCCAATTCTCTATTTTTATTATGCAAATCTCAATATTTCTCATTAATTCATCCAATAAATGAAAGACACTCCCCAAACGTCTTCATTTTAAGAGAATAATTAAACAAAATTGCTACTCTTAGGAAAAAATAAAACCTTCATTTCGACTCTATTTGTAATAACGAATGATGGAAACATTTGTTAATGCTTCAGACGAATGAATAAATTTTTATAAAAACAAATTGTTCACAGTGATTTGAAGTAAAGAAGTAATACTTCTCCCCAAAATTGTCATAATGGATAATCAGATCATTTCCAAGTGGATTGGCTCAAATGTTTCTATCAAATAATTGATTCATGAATTATAATCCCTATAATTCAATCAATTGAACGAACGTGTGTATGCAGCATTGAAACACGTAATTGCGGTGTAATATGTTGAAATGTGTGGACGTGATGGCAATGTGAATGCGAGACGTTGCAATAACAACGGCGGTCGTTGGTGGCCCATCTCCATTAGGAGAGTAGAAATGAGAAGAGCTCCGATAGAGAAGCCGCGTGCTTCGCCTGCCATTGCTCGCGTCAATTCATCTTTCAATGTTCGTTTATGCATCACGCATCCAATTACCAATAATCCATTGCCAAAATATATAAACAAAATATATAAATGGATGAAAGGGACAAGTACTGTTGATGTCAATTGATTGGGGGGATTGGCGATTTTTGTTTATAGAGATTTGTCGATGTGTACAATGAGAGAGTCAATACAGGAAGCCCCACAGCCTAGTCGTGTTTTTCAGCACAATTTTTTTCCTTCGCTTCAATATGACTTTAATATGCTCATACATGCCTCTTCCAATCCTCATGCACTTTATCAAAGAAGAAAGCTACACGCAGTTAACATAATCATCATGAATTGCTGTAAACAGTACGCCATATACTGATTTTTTTCTCCCAAACCTTGTTGTTTGCGCAGAATATTGCCAATTGTCGCATAAATATCAGTTGCGACGTAGGGTCCCTATGACCACCATATTTGCCAATCGATTAGTCCGCGTCGATTCAAGTTCTCAATTGAATAACTTCCGCCTCTAATGATTCATGTAATTAAATCATTATCATTATAGCTATAATAATAGATAAGGTATATAAATGTTTAGAAAGCAAGTTTAGAAACCTGGCGTGAATGCGGAACGGGTGATAAATTAGAATTTGCATTTCTATATTTATTCAATTTATATTGGATTAGCGTTGTATTTCGAAACTCAGTTAGGCTAGCGCAATATGGTGTGGGGGTGTAGATGGGATCCCATCGAATAAGTTGAAGATCGTGATTGACCGCTGTTTCTCTCTGCGGAAAGAGTTTGAAAATTCAAAAAACTTGGAATAATTTCAAGATAGAGAATAGGATAATTAGATTAACTACGTGGACCAGAATAGTTCAGCGGTGTTCGGTTAAATTTTAATTCCAATTGTTCACGAAAATAGTTTTGTTTTGAAACACTTTTTTTTAAAAAACTATTGATAAGTATATCATCATCAGAGTAAATAATTGTGTGGCAGGACTAAAGCAGTGTTTCTCTGTACAATTTTTTCAAATATTTCTGTATCGCGTAGTGGTGACGTAGGGTCCCTAGGGCCACCATATTTGTCACTAGATCAGTCCGCTAACATTCAAATTTCATTGAATGAAGAATATCAGGAACATCAGGAAGGAGCATACCATGTGAAATCCAGTAGTAGGAGTGTGGCGGATATGACGTCACGAAAGTGTACATTTTTCACATTGGCGGGTGATCTCGAACCACAGTACAGCGAGGGCAATATCATAGGGCGACGTCATAGAAAAACTCGAGATAAATATTTGCCAAGTGATCAATGATAAGCAGCAGAGATGGTGAGGTTTTCTGCATGTGAATATTTCCAAATAACAGGCCCCAATAAATCCTCCGTATCTCATACGTATTTTAGACGTGAGTATTATGAATTTTGGCCTTTTGTCGTAAAATTCAACTCGTATCCTCTGGTTTTTAATTCTCATGCTAAGGCCGGAAACTTACTATTACATTTTTCATTTGTATTGAATACACTTCATCCAATTAAACTATCATTATAGATTTGCAAAAAACTCGAAGAGGCGGCAAGCATGGATAAATTTCATCGATTTTCTCAACTGGCAGCCGTCTAATACTACGAGGTTATGTTCAAAACACTTTGCCACAACAACTATAATATCCCGCCTATTAAATTCTGCGAACCCCATCATGGACATCAAACGCTAATAATTTGGAAGGGTCAGTTTATTCTCTCACGGGAAAATTCCGTGATTTGCATAGCCCAACCCTGCAAGGACGTCATCAGAGGTAAAAAAAAATCCATAAACTAAGTAAATTGAAACTTTCCTATCATGAGGTAGTAATGCAGGTATTTAATTTAGTAGTTTTTGGTGGCAAGGACGAGATATGCATCCTATGCGATTGAGAGAAAAATCTTCTTTAGAAGGAGAGGCTCAATCATGTTCGCAAGAGAATATTATAATTTCTGCGAAATCAACAGTATTCAACAAATCAACGTATAGATCTAGACTTGATCGAATTGATTTAGCTGCTCGTCCAGTTTTCAAGGATCATTCCAAAATCTAATAGAGCGGCATTTTCATCAAAACCATTTTGGCAGATGTCCTTCTGGTTTACAAGAGACCTTCAAGATATATTTCACTATCTCCCTAAATGTTGAGATAGTTGTCAAAAACTTGATGAGGGCTGAAATTGCCTCAGTCTGATTGATCACTATGTAGAAGAATCCATGGTATGTATAGTGAATGTGAAAGAAATTATTATTTTTTGATTATCATTTTTGTAACCAGCTCTTAATCTCCTATATCCCGTGCGACTCCAATATTGCCTTAATCATCCAAACCATCTTGGAGTTATTTTCCTTCTTTTAATGATGATAAAAGAAAACTTCTAGCAGTATATAAGTTCAAACAATTAATGAAATCGGAGCTGGGGCCCCTTTTCTTAACATTTACAGAAATTATTAATTTGTCAAAGATCAAATTGCCATACACAATTAGACGAGTGTTAGCTTTCGTTTATGGTAAATTAGATCCATCTACGGCACCATTCGCAATAAGTAAATGATAAGCTTTATGGATTTATTGATGTTGGAAGCTAAATAATGAGTAATAAAGTTGAGATTGCTAAAGAATCATTAGTTTTCACGATATGGAACTATGACGAGAGAGTTTAAAATTTGTAAACTTGACAAAAATCAAATTGAACACCTTAAAATTGTATTCGTACTTTATGGGATGAAGCTTACCAAAAAGCTCATTCAACTAACTCCCCTTTAACTTGAGATATTTCGATGATTCAAATTTGGAAAAATGGCTTTTAAATGTGCCTACCCGGTGTTCATATTACCACATCATATTATCCCTATAGACACAACAGAGACAAATTTTGTTATTTGCTGACTCGCAGTGTTTTCTCGCAAAAAATGCAGGTAGCAATCATCGTTTACTGTTTTGAGTTGAAATAGTTAAAATTACGGTTAGCATCACAACTCAAATTCAATCAGTAGCGAGTACAGAACAAGTGATAAATAATTTTTTGTTGTTAGAATCCATAAGGCATCGCTTCATGGTTGCTGTAAGGGTGGTGCACTGACATCAGAAAGTTAAATGAAATTTCAATGTACAATTAGTGGATGAAGAAACGTTATTGGCGTGAGAAAGTTATGAGATCATGTAGCAATACAAATTTTGTTCCTCGGTGATCAAATCTTGAGTGAATTTCGGGGGAATATGAATCAGAAATTTCACAGTGGTATGATTTGATGGCTCGTAAATCACGCGTTCAAGACGATGAGAACACACAAGTACGATACTCGCTTTATCTACTTGCCAATCGGCTTCCCGTTCGTCGACCAATTAGGCATCATTATTTTCAAGCTTCAAAAAAGTATTATCTGACGTATATGTGATTATAATTTTTCCATTTGGTTCAGCTTATACACTCACATTTGTCAGATAATATTTTTCAGGCCATGTACTGAGAATAACCACCAATATTATGTCACATGTAAATAAAGTTTCTTGCCAGACTGTATTTTTTATTTCAAATTCCTTTTTTTAGATGCAATTTATTGCATTTCAACTATTAATATCAACAATCTCAAACTTCGCATAGCAATCCAGAATATTTTGCATAATTTACGTTAAAATTTTCATAAAATCTACCGCATGTTTTTCCGTCGCCCCAATAGCGTGAAAATTTAATAACGCGTTATAATTGAATATGTAGAATATCGCTATTTTTTTCAAATCCGTTTTTGACCTACAGCCCAACAAATGTTGTTAGAATGTATGTATTAAGACTGAAAAAATGTGTATTGATAACTTATTGGTTCTATCAGAACATGATAGTATTGAAATAATATTACTACTAATAAAGTAATGGCTCAGGGCTCATGAAAAGGAAAAAGAAAATTTAGAGTGTACACTCATTCTGCAGCCGTGAAAACCTAATGAAGAACCTAATGAAGACAGATCCAGGAAGATGAAAGATACTCTAAAACGTGGAAAGTGAGCAGCAAGAGATACTGGTAAGAGAACATGGTGGCAATGCTGAAGGAACCACCAGTTAAGAAAATATGCGACATAATAGGAAAACTGGGGAAAATCCTGAGAGAGAGGTGAAGTCTACGGTAATGTCTAGACTCTAGACTACAGAAGTGGGAGTATGATGAAATAATTAAGGGTTTGGTGAGCCGAACTTGGAAGGGAAGGAGGGCCGAGATCTCTCCTAACAGGTAGTATGGTTGTGAGCGATGTTCGCAATGAAAACTATGTGATTTGGCACTGACTCAATGAGCTAATCATTTCACTTTCGTAGGACTTTTCCTACGAGAAGCTCAAGGAAAAGAGAGTTGGGCCGGTTGCAATCATTGCAAATGGAGGAGGTGACACTATAAGGAGCTCCTGCAACATCACTCATCGTACAGAGCCTGTAAAATTGCTGCAACTTGTTCAAAAGAAGAATAAATCATAATAATGATTAAAATATTCATGTCTTTGGTCAATCCTCAAAGTTTTTATAAAAAAATCAATTGTTTTACCAGTTTATATAACAATGAATATTTATCAAAACTAGGAAATTCTTACGTCACATTTAGGAGAGATCCATGAGGACGAATCCTTTATCATAAAAGAGATTGACAATGAATAATTGTTTTCATTGTTAATCTTTTATTCTTTTTCCTGTTGGTTGATGGGTCGATTGATCATTTCCATGATTACGAGGATGCTATTGTGTACTACAGCGATCACATAGAGGTAAAGCGCGCCTAATTGCCTAATAGATGCATAAATTAAGCAATTATTAATAGCAAATTTAGCAGGGAAATACTAATTTTTACGATGATGTGTTTTTTAAATGTGAACTATATGAAATACCTGGGATTTTGTAATAAGCATTTTTTGGAAAAGTGAATAATTGTTTAATAAATAATTTTGGAATGAAAACTCTGACAGTAAAGTAAAATAATTCATTTCCCGGAAGGTTTAACAGGCTTCAATTAGTTTATAATAAATTATAACTTTAAATCAATCATTTCAGTCAGTTATTTATTTTTTGCATGGAAAAGTTGTTCATCAAATAATAGAAAATGAATAATTGAAAAAATTGATGACAAAACGTTGCAAGAGTTGGGATTTATTGAATTTATATAATTCGACTGACCTTATTTAGTGAATAAGTATACTACACTTTCGAAATAATGACGTATTTGCAAACTTCCTAAAAACTTCGTCATCAGCAAAACAGAGATGTGTATAAATTCACCACTGGAATTCGCCAAATGACAGTTTTATTGTATCCATTCAATCCAATCCAACAGAATTCCCATGATTCTAAAACTATTATTGTCTGCAGTGATCTGCACTGCAGGTGAGTAATAAATTCGTGCATCCATTTTTAATGGGCTAATAAATGATAAAATTATTGAATTTCAGTTTACGCTGATATTCTAAGTGCCAACGATGCGAAGACGTGCGAAGAGCTTTGCAGCAGCTGTCAGGGAACAGCATCCATCATCGACGGCTACTGTGAGTGCTATGTTCCTGATGGAAATACAAAAGGTAAAAAAATGTTGAAATAATTGCTGAAGCTAATTTCATAATTTAACGTGATGTCCTTTGATTTTTGGGTTTTGAGGTGATTGTGTAATGAGGATAAAGAGACAGGCTGACGAACTGGGACTGGATTTAATGGACTGTGAGCCAGCTAGTGGAGACAGACCTGCCAGATGCAATTTGAGGTCGCACATGGTCCGAACAAGTAATAATCCTTAATTGGAATGAAATTAATAGATCATAATCATTACAAATGCTTACAAAAATTGCAACAAAAATTTGTATCTCTCTTGAAGATGATGTTGATCGCGTCGCCAGATACTTCATGAGAGGTGGTGCCATAGCAGGACATCCTATCCTTGGTTCACCACAGTGCGATACTGATAACGTGGTAGGTGCGCCGAATCCTCAAATTCAGAAACAACCAGAAACACCAAGATTAGAAATGATGGTTGGTGCCCCCAGCCCATGCCAGTCTTCAGAACCCCAGCTATCTTCCTCTCCAAGTTACGAAGCTTATTACCAAATGCCGGACAGCATCGTCGGCGCACCAATGCTCTCCACACCTTACAATAACATGCCACATTTGTTATACAAGCCTTCCCGAGTCGCTCCATTTCTCCAACGCTCTGTAGTTTTACCACACTTGTCTGCAGGTGCGCAGCTGAGACTCAATCCCTATTACTCTCGCTTCCACTATCCCCTTCTTTCTCATCTTCGTCACCCTCTTCTACGAGCTCCATACTTGGGGGACTCAGCCGTAAATATCGTGAGTATTCATTGAAAAGGGAAAGAAAAATCCCCATACGTCGAGTTGAAAAATTTCTATACATGTACATTCAGAGAATAATCACGTCAGTTGAATGAATTATTCGTTTTGTGTATGGCTACAGGTGGGTGCTGTACCTGAAAATTATGCCTCCCCAGACCAAATGCTGGCGGAAAGACCGGAAACACTGGCAGCTGCACCACCTATCGTTCAGCCAGGATATGTTCACTCCTCTACACCTAGGGTGGAAGTTCCTATGTCCAATGACATGACAATGTTTCTCCATGAGATACTGATGCACCAGAATGCAATTCTCGAGGCGATCCAGCAGCGGCTTCACAAAGCAGGAGAAAATGTGGGTGCATCTAGAATGCTTTCTGCATCTATGGAGCCCAATCTCGGTGCACCACCTCCAAAACCCCCAAACTGCCATTGTCCTGGACAAAATAAGCATCAAATGCCTATGGTGGGTGCTCCTAGAAAGCCGGACTGCAAACAGAGAGCTCCCAGAATGTCTCCAGCCATGGAAACTCTCGTAGAGGGGATAGACAAGATCGAGAACATTGAGAATAACGAGAACATCGAGAATATTGCAAACATGGGAAACATCGAGCAGCAACAGTTGGAAAAGATGGCAATTGTTGAGAATGAGCAAATGGCAAACAACGAAGCATTCAAAACTGAAGTGACCACTGAGAAGCCACAGAAAGAGGCCAGATCCATTGCCAATGGACGAAAGAGAAAAAGAGAATTGAAGAAAATTCTCGAGAGCAAAGCTGCTTGAAGTCTACATTTCATACTCTTTTTGTACTTTTTATAAAAGTCTTTTTTATATTTTTCTAATTACTCATATATTTTACTACGTATTTTGTGTAAGTAAATTAAATAAATTGTGAAGGAAAAATTATCAGAATAGATTGGTTTCAATACTTTAATATAAAAATTGAAGAAATTCTGGATAAATTTCTGTTAGCCTATTTACACCGATGAAACATTCAGTAGGAATGAGATAATGGTACTTTCAGTGAAAATATTAAATTTTTTCACCTCCTGCCTTTTCCTTTACCCTTCTTCGCGGATGCCGATGGCTGCTGAGTTGTCTGCTCAGCAGAGCTCTGCTTCCCCTGTCTAGTCTTCAGATTGGGAATGGTAGTCCCCAAATATAGGAGAAGGGAATCCCTCGAGGGGAACTCTTGCTTCATTGGCTTGCCATCATCGTCTTTCAGTTGGACGCGAATTCTACCTCTGTAGAGAAGCTCTTTACTGCGTTCCCTCGGGTGCAATTTGTTTTCAACACCCACGTTGAGACCTGCTGCTGTCAAAACGTCCCGAATTTCCTGGTGGGTCGGGTTCTCGACACACTTTGATTTCGTAAGTTTCCTACCCTCTGCACGAGTCTTCTTGCTGTTCAGATAGATTGGATAGATGCAGACCCACCTGTAAATATTCATTTATACACAATTTAGCCACTACTATTTGTACTTGCACATTTTCCAATCAATAATTCGAGTTTAAAAAATGAACCAATTATTGAAAAATTGTTTGATTTGTGCGAGATGAAATAAAATATGTCTGCAGGTGATGAAAAGGTTAGAACACATACGGGGATCGGTTAGAACACATACGAAAATTCGACCGACAATTGATAACAAATATAGAAGACAGGTTATGAGAATTTTACTCGCCTCTCATTGTCATAAATTCAGTTTTTTTAAATGATTTTTAATTACCTTTCTCTATCACTATGTTTTTTGGAGTCGTTCCAGGCGAGCGCCATGTTTTCTTAACAAACTGTGTCGATAAAAACGATGAAAATAGAGACGTGTCAGGTGTGTCGGGTGTCACTGGTTGCACTCCACAATAACATATAGTCTAGTCAGATTAATAGGCTGGTGAGGAATATTAAAACATGAGGAGAAAACAGGATGGGGGGTTTTCTTTTTCAATTCGTTTTCAAGTAGAGAAATGAATTTTCTTAAATTTCAGGGTACAGTGCAAAAAATAAATTTTCACGGGCTCGTCCGGGATTTGAACCCGGGACCTCTCGCACCCGAAGCGAGAATCATACCCCTAGACCAACGAGCCTTCCGTACCAAGTTAAAAAATTTAGTAATTCATATATCAACTATTTTTCTGTCACGTCAGAAAGATCATTTATTGGTACATGATATTAAATAATGGATAACGTACGTAAATAAGTCCAACTAAAAATTTTTAGTTATCGATTTATGTTTGCCATAAATAAAAGTATCGCTGTGGGATGGACCGGGTGGACAGGAAACTCTTTTTGTAACTGATTGAATTCCCCATAAAATAATATTTATTGATATCGTCGGCAAAATGTAATACTTTTGTAGATCACGCTATATTTAATTGCACTAAGCTTCGATCAATCTCACCTTACCATCTCGTCACGGAATTTGTAGGAGTAGTTACCCAAATGTCAATCTTGAAGCAAGTCAGCCTTGTATTTGTAGTATTACTAGTGCACTAGCTACTTAAAAATATCTAAAAGTACATGTAAGTGAATCTAATCAGTTTAATGTTGATGAGAAAAATGCTATATTAAATATTTTTTCTATAATTCTTATTTCGTCTTTGCTATTTTCGATCACATATAAGAGCACATTTCAATGAATACTAAAATTCCATTATTTGATACTGTACGGGTCAAACCATCGAGGTACTTTTTTTTAACTGATTCGATGAATTTATACATGAAAGTAAAATTCGACGCATTGTCATCGATAATTTTTCATTAAATCGATGGAATCTCGTTGAGTCTTTTTGAATCCCGGAGCGTGACCTAATGGTTAACAATGAAAAAACTTTCAAAAATTCTACAAAAACTAGATCAGCTGCAACTGATGCCATTTCAAAGAACAAAACTAATCGGTAATCAGTATTGGTAGGGCCTTTACAGGATTTTTCCGCGATATAACCGAACGACTCCACCAACTATAGTAGTATATTAACGTTACGATGTGGGAACAAGAAAAAAATGAGGTCAGACTTTATTAGGTGAATGAAGGCTAGTCGAAGGTGACCCATTAATATTATGTTCTTTGTGGGACTGATGCCACCCCCGTCCCCATCGCAAACTGCTGAGGTCTGTAGTACCTTGTCACACGTTATATTGAATTCAACTTAATTTATATGAATCATTAAACATCATATACCTTTAGAAGGTAACGGGAAGGTGACGTAAATCTACCCAGGAATGAAAATACAAAATTTGATGACTTGAACGAATCAACTCATTTAATGCAAACAGGTTCCGACACAATAAGAGTCAATTTTCAAGTAAAGGGGAAAACAAATTTTTTTTTAAGTGTATTCAATGAACTTTAAGATGAATCGCTAATAAATTACCGCAATATGAAAGGAACAGAGAGAAAAGAAAAACAGAGCGTTACGGACAGGGATGTGCAGTATTAACATAAACAGTAGAACTGTGAATTTCTCTCGTACAATATATTTTGCACTTGACATCGGACAAATCATAATTTGTTGGGTAAGATTCTCAAATTACTGTCACTGATATAAAATTTAATGTTTGATTGACCAAAAACATAGTTCAGGATGTAAACGCTATCGCTGAGTCAATTTAAATTGATGCATAACAGAGTTAATCGCAAATTTGATTAATTGTGTGGACGGAGATTCTTTTGATTTCTTGACGTATGTGGATATTGCACCTGTTTTTCATTAACTATTGTGGTACTATGCTAACGGATTGACTATTAGTTTTTTGGGAACAAGGGGTAATTCTCGAAACTTCTGAGCATTTTCATAGTATAATGTTTAACGGTGATACAAGCCATTTTTGTTCCGAAATTGTCTTTAAACGTCCATAACTTCGCGAAAAATGGACCAGTTTGGACTTTTTTTTTAATTGTGGTTTTTGAACGCGCTTTCTAACAGAAACATCAGAAGAATAATTAGAACCGTATCTTCTAAAGATTTCCTAATTTTTAATTTAACTGCTTGATTTTCGCGAATAATTTTCACAAAAAAGTGATAGCCGGGTAATTTCGTAGTGAAAGAACGATGGGAAAAACAAAAACTGTTTACTTTTGAATTTCGAAATTTCAGTTATTTGTCTTAAAAAGTCAATATAAAGAAGTCTTTTGATATTTATTGCCCACTTTCATTGACACTTGATACATTTGCCACGGTATAGAGATTAGAAATACGCATATCAATTATAGAGAGTAAAGAAAGAACTGGGTGAAATCTGAAATTAATTCTCTGATCGTCGACTGACCAGTTTGAATTGGTTTAAGCAGTACTGAATTGAAGTTCTGTCACGAAAACTTAATAATTACTACTCATTAAATGAGTTATCTATTTTTCATAAAGTTTATGCGTCATCCATCACTTCTTCCACCGTTTATTATAAAAAAACGTTTTCATAACTCTCTCCTCTTCCCTTGAATATTTTGAATGTGTATTTTTTCTATGATAAGAAGTGCCAATACGTGATGAATTTCCAGCCATAACCTATTTGAATCACTCATATCATGCGTTACGCGATCCTCGGTTTTGGTAGATAATTTGTTTAGACCACTGTAGAAAAATGGCAGAGGTGATGAGATGTCTTTGGAAATCGGTTTTGATTACGAGGAATGGTATCAATCGCCTGCACTTCCTAAAGGGTGAGTTTCGAAAAACTAATCCTAATAGCCCAAGTTAAATGGGTTCATCTCTTTTCTGCATCAATGGTTGACCAGTGTTATCATTTTTGTTAGTATTATATATAAATAAATAATAAAAAATGTATTAATTAATAAGGCCCAATGGGAGTGGCACATCAATTGAATACTTAGGTGATGAATGTCAGTACTAATTACTACCTAGGTAACAATATTTTAGTGAAATAATTTTTCTTGGTATTCTAGTAGAATTCATTCCTGGAAAATAATTATTCGTGAGCTACATCAATAAATGATTGAATTTGAAATATTATTGATTGCCTTGCTTCTAAGTGAATCCACACAATGACAATTTTATCCCAGATATGAATTCCAATGGAATATTCAGCAGCTACACGACGGTGGAATGTGGGATAATATGGACATCTTTTTATTTGAATTGAGCTAGTAGCCATTACATTATCGATGAAATTAACGTAAAAGTATAGAACGTTTTGGCGTTTTCTCGTTATTTAATGCGGTATTGTGATTCTTTTCAAAAGTTTGGAAAAAACTGAAAAAAATGGTCGCACCACCTTGACACTTCGTGAGTCGTTAATTAATACCAAAATGCAAAAACTTTACATTTTTTTACGTCAGTCCCATAGTAAGTTTGCCAGAAAAATGAAAAAAACGTTAATTTTGACTATATTATGGGTAGAGAACACCCTTAACACTGCTTAACCTTGTCGAATGTCTTTCTCGCGTCGTAGAATAATTATCTAAAATGATGAGCCACCCGGTAAAAATCGTTTAATTATCGTCAAATTTAATGCCAACGTCATTGAATGGTGTAGAAAAAAAAAAGATTTTTAAAATTGTTTAATGATACAATAAACTTAGTACAAAAAACATCGTTGAAACGCAGTCAATTAGAATTTTGAACCCATTTGATGATGTACATTATTATTAGCTACTTACTTGACATTATTTACATTTTTTGTTTTGGAGAGACGCATTTGAGACTTTATCAATCGATTATTTGTACAGCATAGAAATCAATGTGATACTTGATGATCTAACAAAAAATAACGAAAAATGATAAAATCATGCTCACCCGTTTTAATTAACACTCGCTAGCTCTAACTAGAATACAAGTAATCGACCACAGTGTTAATTTACAAAGTCAGCGCAAAATAAGAAAATTATTTGATCGTAATGGAAAAGGGACGAAACTGTCATGGGATAAATTTATGTAATGCATTCTCCTGTAATATATTACCGCATACCAATTTATTCGGTTTCTAATAGTCAATTATTGTGGCAATAACACAATCTTTTGTCTCAACAATCACCCAGTACAAAATTCTCTCTTCTACTGAAATCCTACAGGATGCAGATCGTTGTACACAGAATCGGCCCTAGATCTCACAGACTACAAAAATTCCCGAAAGAAGATGGAAGAAAGTAGTGGAGACTTGCAAGTATTCAGACAAGCAGTTCGAATAGCTCTGAAGAGAGAAAGCAATTCCGTGACGTTAGCGGATCTCAGGAAAATACTGCACATTGTCGAAAAAAACGAGGAAGACCTGACACTCCTCAAGACGATGATGGAGAAGTGGCATGCCCAGGGGGGCCACAACGAAGAGGACTACAGTTTGGGCCCCATTATAATGAGGGCCTTCCATTATCTGAATGAACCCCTCATTGCCCTGGATACACTGACGAATCCACAATGCAAAAACCTGTACGATCAACCCAAGAGCTCTGCTATCCTTGTGGATCTACTCTACGAGCATCAAATGTATAAAGAGGTTCGCGATGTCTACGATTTTCTGAGACATAAACCTGTCAGCAAACTCGTCACTTCCGTCGTTGTTTTGGCGTGTTACAAAGAGGTAAAAATTGCATTCCAATGATCTATCAAGATATGATAGATACGCCGAAAAAAAGGCGGCGATCACGTATTAACGCGATTGATCGTCATTCAATCTTTTTGTTTCCGAATGGAAGTGCTGTAATTGTTCGTCTTTCATTTCCTTTTCAATGTCAGTCTTGATTACCACATCTCAAACAATCAAGACATATATACTCATTCATATAAAGTTTTCGAGATATTTGGAATTTTTCTATTTTTCATTAAAAACGTTGCTTACGATACAGCACGACGGCGTATCAACCGTAAAAATGTATATTTTGCTTACCAATCGCATGCCTGGAAGCAACAGGGCTATCTTTAGATAGAATACATGCCCTTTTGCTTCTGGGGACGTAGACCATCTTCAAAGTAAAACGAAATCAACTTTTGAGCTTGTGATGCTTAGAAAGCTAAAAAAAGGGTAAATGTATAGTAGATGCAAAAGGTTGAATTTCCCCGATTTCTGGCTGGAAAAACCACTTCAACTTCTTTTCGATAAAAGTAAAAAAAAATAATAGTCTGAATCTGGCTCCTTCTTTTGATCTTGTATCCGTTGTCTTTAACTGTAACAACATGTGTTGTTTTTAGAGTCGACAACACCGCGATAACGCAAACAGTGGTGTAAGTAAGTTCAGGAACTGTCCATCAATCAAAAAAAAAAGTCGTATAAAGTGAACGAGTACTTGAATTTGTCACAATTCTAACGAGGAGTTGGAACTCAGAAACGGAATGAATCTACTACACATTTACCAAAAACACAATTATTCGAAGACAAAAGGTGTTATATCCAGCATATTATTAATTTATTTCACGATTACTTAAGGCCCGGTTGGAGTATCACGTTATCTCGTATAGATGGTTTTTTTTTCTTGTTTTTTATTTGAAACTTTGGTGCAGTCTTGCATGAAGCAGAGCTGCCCCACATAGATGCATGTAGGCTTAAAAAAAAGATTTAAAAAAAAGTTATAGAGTCCGCGCTTCTCCATTAAAATGGGAGGATAATTGTATAAAAGCACTAGTCGGAAATATCTGACTTGATTGGGCAGGGGGAGAAGGGGGGGGGGGGCGATAAAAGAAAATATCTTCCTGTGCGGTCGGTGGGGCATTATTTCACAAAGTCGTTCTCTGAAAAATTTTTAATTATTTTTTAGATTTTTTAAATCTCAATTTCCTTACCTCATAATTGGTAGATATCTCCGGATTAGATAGCGAAAAATTGAGGTGGCGATCAGCTGTCAATTTTGCGGGCGCGATGAGGGGGGATACAAGAAGTAGGATGAACGCATACCGAAATAATTTTTTTCAAAACATCTGAACATCAAAATCAAACTCTGCAACGTTCATCCTACTTCTTGTACCCCCCTCATCATGCTCGTTAAATTGACAGCTGATCGCCACCTCAATTTTTCGCTATCTAATTCGGAGACAACTGCTAAATATAAGGTAAAGAAATTATGATTGAAAAAATTTAAAAAATAATTAAAAATCATTCAGAGAAGACAATGTTATACATATGCCCCATGTGCTGCGTACGGAATAATTGACATTTAGCATACTTTCCCTCCACCCCTCCTTTTCTCTATCCCTGAAGTGACAGCTGATCGAAAAAATCTTAAAAATATTTAATAATTTTTCAGAGAACGACTTTCTGAAATAATGCCCTACCAACCGCACAGAAAGAGATATTCTTTTATCGACCCCCCCCCCCCCCCATCACCCTCTCCCCCCTTGCTCTATCAAATCAGATAATCAGATTCCAACTTGTGCTTTGGTACAATTCTTCTCTCATTTTAATGAAAAATCACGGACTCTATATTTTTATTTTTTTTTTACATTTTTCAGGCTACATGCATTTATGTGGTGCAGCTCTGCTTCATGCAGGACTGCACCAAAGTTTCAGATAAAAAAAACAATCTACACGAGATAACGAGATACTCCAACCGGGTCTTAAATGGAAATTTAATTTTCCCCAGAATTCTCCAGATAGTTTGCAGTTCGCGCTTAAAATGTGGAAAGATGTGCAAGGGAATCGTGCGCCCCTCAGAAGGACAATAGTGACTCTAGCTGCCCTGGCACTCAATCAGAATGAGCCTCAGATGGCTTTACAGTTTATTGACCATTGTAGAAATGTCGCTACCATTTCTGCGAGGACCGCCAAAGTTATGGCCCTCTGCGACTTGAATCGAATTGACCATGTTTTACTTGACTTCCGATACGCTTTGAAACATAATAGTCACTATCTTGGGGATGTCGTAAGTTTTCACTGAATTTTGTACTTCATGGTAATAACTTGAGAAGTTAATTACGATTTCGTTTTTTTGCAGGTTTGGAAATTTCACGATGCCGCAAAACGCATGAATATCGATTCAAAAACTGATATTTTTAGATTGTTCAATTCTTTGCGAACTCGACGTTCTATTCAAACTCAGGTAATTATTCAACTCCGTTATCTATTCATCCATACACAATTCGTAAATGAATTGAAGAATCAATTGTGAATAAATAAATTGCTGAATGTGATGACTCCAACAATCTATAAATAAATGGAATATTTCTGAACATTTACAGACCCTCGAAGAGTATATCTCCACCCCAATAGATGTTCCCAAGAAAGAACTGCCTTCTGATCATCAAGAAACTTCACAACTAGATAGACGAAAATTCGATTATGGGCAGAATGACTGGCATGATCTATCAAATCGAAAATGTAACCAATAACTCAGTTTCAATTCACGGATAACTCTGATATCATGCAGTCATATATTTATTTTCCGGGCATTCCGTGTCATTACAAAACCTAATGAACTGCTGCTGTTTTCGATAATTTATTGTAGTTATTCGTGAACCACTCGTCCATCACGGATGAACTCTTGAGTTGTCTTCTAATTTTTAGAATAAGAGCAGCTAACCAAGTCGCATTAGGTGTCGAATTATCCTCTTTACATCTGCAGGGAACAGCAAAAAATGTACAAGTTTCAAATCATATAAAACTTTATGTACTAATTGAATTATTTTTTCAACTTAAATAATCGTCAATCTTTAACTCACCTTGAGGAAAGAGCACCAACAAGATTAGCCCAGCTCTCGACACTCCCCGGGAATGAATGAACAGTCTTTTGCACAGCTCGAAGTCCTTCCCTCCCCAGGTTAGTGGCGAGTTGCCCCAGGGACGAGATACAGGCGACCTGTGCAACAGCTACAGTGGAAGTTTTTCTTCCCAGGAACAGTGTCTTCTGGGCACAATTGCCAAAATGTGCGTAATTCGTCTCCAATAGGATCCTTACAAGGCCTACCCACGAACCCACATCCTCAGGATGTCTGTGTACCGCCTTGGAGATGATTCTAACAGCGCCCTTCACGTCGTCATTACTCAGACAGGAATATGCTGTGAGGATAGCTACGTGATGTCTGTACTCAGGATGATCATTGTAAGCCTGAAGCTCCTTCAGAACTAGAGTGGTAAGATTGTAATCCTCGTGAAGGAGGCCAAGTGCTGCGGAGGCAAGCAAGCCAGCAACAATAGGAGGCTGAATCTGTATGCACTGGTAAAGAAGCGTCTTCACTTGATCCACACCCTGGAACATGTAGGCCATGGATGCCATGGCGCACAGCACGTGGGCCTCATCGGATCCAGGATCTGCCAGCTGCTGGAGGGCTGTACCATAGGCGTCGTAAGACTCTTCGTATCGCGCCGCTTTGAAAAGGCTCAGAGCCAGTTGGCAATGAGATTTGAAACTCGGTGTCTTGATCCCCTGACAGATCTCCACAGCTTTTTCGTACTCCCCCAGCTGCACCAAAATTCTCGTGTAGTTCACTCTAATCTTATCCTGGTGCTCTTTGTGGTCATGAGAGAGCTTGAGGGCTTTTGAAAATTGCTCTGCTGCCGGTCGCAGCAGCTTCTGACGTTCTAGGAGTAGACCTAAAGCATTCCTGCTAAAGGCAGAATCAGGTACTCTCTCGACACACCAGGTCATTGCATCGATGGCCATTGCAATGGCATGCATGTTTTCAATAGTATAATTGTAAAGAGGATCTTTCTTGGCATTAGGGTCAAGAAGAGTGGTGAGTACCCAGTGCGCATAGCCGACAGCAGCTTGAGGATGGTAAGCTAGCTGTGTAGCATGCCTGAACAAGTCCATGGCCTCTTTCCTCTGAACAGATTCAGCAATCAGTCCCTGCCCAATCCAACTGTTTTCATACTCTGGATCAGCCCGCTGGGCCCTGGAGAAAGCCTCATTAGCCTTAAAGGGATCCCCTAGATGAAGATAGAGAGTCCCCAAGTTGGTCCAGGCAATGGCATTGTTGGGTTCTCTGTCGATAGCCATAACCCAGCAGTGCTGAGCCAGAGCGTAATTCTTGATCTCCTCAGTCATGCAAATTACCCCTAATAGGTTCCAATGAACCCAGGTGGAGGGATTAAGTTTGACCGCTTGTTGAGCAGCTGCGAGGCTTTTTTTAGCAGTGGACAAAAGGTCAACTGACGAGTCCAGCCGTAATTGAGTGAGGTAGCAACATGCCAGATCATGCCAGAGGAAAGAAGAGTCCTTTGAAAGACTCAAAGCACGACAGAAACACCTGGAAGACAAACTGAGTAATTCGGTTTTCTTAAGCGTCACTCGCCTCTCCGTAGGATTCTGAACAAGGCCCCCAGCCACATTTAAGGTACAATATTTCTGTGGAAAAGTCGCCGCTCTATAGCAAGCATCCCCCAGGAGCTTCCACAAGCATGAGAGACTGGGTTTCTCGACAATAGCGTCCGTGAGGCAGTCAGCAGCCTGTTGAATATTCTCTGAACTCCTCCCCAGCAGTTGGGCCCTGGAATTCTCCCTTGCAAGTCCCAAGTATGTTTCTGCGAGCCCTTTCAGAGCAGGTATATACCTCCGTTCCTGGCTAAGTACTTCGAGAAAAGCCTTTTTAGCCTCCAAGTGCCTTCCCAGTACTAGATTTATGTTAGCTATCTGCAGCATAGGGTAGAGAGAGCCTGGCGACAGCTCCAAGGCTCGTTGATATGACTTGAGAGCTGAAGTGTGAGCCCCACGTGCCCAGTAAGCATCCGCCAGCGATTCCCAGCAGTGATTGTCGTTTGGATCAGCCCTTATCACATACCTTAGGGATTTTATTGCCTGAACGATTTTTCCTTCATCTAATTGCTGCAGTCCCAGTTGTAGCCAGGCCCATTTGGGACCACCACCATCAGCAGTGGTCACACGCTGGAGCATCTGCATATTCGCTTCGCTGTTCTTCAGCAATCGATAAGCGGTGCTCAGACGCGCCCCTGCCTCTATGCTATTCGGATTTATTCGCAGGGCCTTCTGGTAGCATTTTCTCGCCTTTTCTAAATCGCCCGTCCTCTCCCTGTAGTAATGCCCAAGGTAGAGGAGACATTGCCAGTGATTAGGATCGACATGCACGCCCTTTAATAGCGCCATCAGAGCATGACTGAAGTTTCTGAGGGCCCAGTTGATCTCCCCGAGCATGAACCAGGTTTCTGCTGTCTCCAGGACACTTCCTAGAACGTCTGCAGCCTCTTCAAGGCGACCCTCGTCTCTTAGTATTTTTGCTTTGAGTATCGTAGCATCTCTTCTGGTCTCAGGATCTCTCTCCAATTCCTCTAAAATGGTCGATGATGGGGAAATGCCCAGCAGTGCCTCCGCCCTGGCCACCAGCATCGTCACTCTATTGGATGAACCGGTCTTCATCAATTTCCTGCAAATCTCTACAGCATCTGGACATTTAGACTTATTGCCTCCCTTGACTACTGCTTCCACAAAAATCATGTCAGCTTTCGTCTGCAAGGCCTCGTTCTGGTTTTTCAAGTATTTGGAAGCCTCCAGTATTGCGCCCTCTGCATCTTCCCAACAGTAGAGGTTCGCGTTAACCTCGGCCAAGGCAATCCACGCGTAGAACTGCTTACATTGCAACGAAACTGCATGATTAAGAAAATCTCTGGCCTCAGTGAGATTGCCTTCCTGCCATAGGTGCATTCCCTTTGCGAAGATAGCCATGTAGGAATTTTCCTTCATCTGGAGTAGGTCGTTGTAAAAAAAATCGATTTGCAAGTCCCTACAAAAATCTAGACCCACCATGATCTTCTGCTCGGTGTAAACCCTGCAGATCCACTCGAGTGGTGTCAGATCTCTCGGATATGTGTGGTGCATCTTGGCTGCTACACTCAGGAGACAGTCAAATTTTTTAGCGGCGAAGAGGGACTTGAGATAGTTCTTGCAGCACTCGTGGTGGTGCGGAAAGGACTCATTCTCCGTCACGGAGGCCATCGAGGAGAGAAAGGCTTCAGGATGATCCTGGGAGAGCTCTGGAAATTTTAAGAAAATTGTTGCCAGGGATTCGTCCACGATTTTCTTCTCATTGCCCTCGGCTCGGAGGAGGCAGAGGGCCGCGATGGATTGCGTCGTGAGGGCTTGATCACTCAGGGCTACTACCAGGTGTGAGACCTTGGAGATGTATGCGAGGAGCTTTGGAGAAGTCCTGTCCACTTGCAGGAGCTTACAGTATGTGGGAAGTAACTCGCTCCAGGTCTCTCGACGTTCCGGCTGCTTCTCGTAGTAGGCGACTAATCCTTGATGGGCCAACGGATTGTCCGGCTGCAACTCAATGGCTCTCTTCAAGGCCAGAGGTACCTGAGATTGATACTCATCCAGACCCCACATCGCCCTTGCCAGCCCCAGCAACGCCTGGTAGTTGGTCTTGTCTTGTCTTAGCAGTTTCTGACAGATCTTCAGGGCCTCACTGTGTTGGCCCTCTTTTATCAGTGTTTTCACTTCCTTCAGGGCTGTCTTCGACTCCTTCGACATCTTTTACCCTACGAATTCCAGGGGTTTTTTTTTGCGAAAATGGATAATTAAATAACTGAAATAATGGGAGAAATGAATGACTGAAATGAAGAACTGGAAGGGCTGAAAGAGTCGTGATATGAACCCATGGAAGCTCTATTCATTGCAATAATGTTTATTTATAAATGAAAAGAAATATCTAATTAATTTTTGCTATTATGGAGTGAAAGTTCCAATCGTTTTAGAAGAAAGATAAAACTTAGAAGAAAGATGAAGCTGCATACTTCCACTTTATTCATATTCTTTAAAGCGATTCGGATTTTTAAAAAATTTCATACTTTCATATTTTTGTTGTACAATGAGAATTCTAAAAAGTTGAGATTATTGCAAAAGAAGTCAAGAGGAGGTTGCTTGCCTCACTCACAGCTACTGCAGACAACATAACCAACATAACCCACGTGAAACCAGGGAGTTGCATATATAATAAAAAAATTACTGACTACTCCTCACCTGTGATTTTGATTATACTTGAAAAATTGTGATGACAATGACTTGTCTGTGGGTTCATGGATTAGACGCGACGTTGGCTATTTTTTTTAGATCAGATGACTTTATCGGATAAAGTTTATCCCCTTATTGTACGATAGGATATTCCCCTCCTTTTTTATATTCTGAGTGCCTTTATCTCTCCTTGGGTCGTACTTGTGCAAAAGTATATGCCGAATACCAATTCTTTCTCTTTCTAGTTACCGGATAGTTGTCAAGATTTGAGAAGCAATGAAAAAATCCATTTGGAATAACTCTATGATGCGATAGTAAACAATTGGACAATATGTTTATAGTAATTTGGTATTCTTTATTTAAACATAATTGATTTTTTTAAATATTACTCTCAGAAAGTGGGTCTCAGAAAGTGGGAGGTATGGGAGTTGATTTTTTTTTATTCGGTTTGATGGAGAATTGATTGTTAACTAATGGTAAAATGGAAACTTTGTTGGGAGTAGACTTTTTTGAGCAATATATGTGCTATCTGGGTACATTTGTCCTAAAACACTTCATACTCTAGTTACCATCTGAGTAAATTACCGACTGCAGGAATATCGTTAGCGTATGGTAAGATAATCCCGGCATCCTTCAAAATTAATTAATAATCAGCGTTTTTATGATAATGAGTGTTAATATTAATAAAAAATAATACATATAATTTGATTACTGGTTCAATTTTTAAAAAAAGCATGTATCGTTTTTTGTCAGCTTTTTTTGGCGCATAGCTAAGCTAAGCTATGCATATCATATTAATATATTCATATAAATAATTAATATATA